TGGAGTTTGGAGTAAACCCGAGCTCTGAAAGTTTCTTATGCAATTCAGCATAATCTCTAAAAAAATGCTTCTACATCCTGTCATACGCCAAATTTAGCAAAAGTAAGAAAAAGAATGTCAAATAAAAATAGAGAGCCTTAATGGAAAAGGCTTGGACCGAGACTATTTTAACCAAAAACCACCCTATAGTTTTATTTAACCAAAAGCACCTCAAAATTAACCATAAGAACAGGGCCCAAATTTTTACACTGGCTGGATTACCAATCCCAAAACGCTCAAAAAGAAGTTTTCAAAACTGCCACTAACGGAAACAAAGCCCAGCCCATTAACAATTTCAAACTAATTACACCCCTAACAACTGAATTTGATGAAACCTGCGATTGCAGAACTATAACGTCCCTTCCGATTTCTACAAACTCGACATCTTCCAAAACGCAAGAAATCTTCAATTTTGAATTCAATTTCTAGGAAGTAGACGAAAGTTCATTAATGGCAGAAGAATTGGCGATAAAAAATCTCAAAACAACACAAATTCCAGGCGAACATGAGGTACTAAACTCATATCCTTGTTAAATTCTCACTTCGAGAATATAGTAATATGCATGTTTGCATGTTTTTTACTCCGTAACCTATCAATTCTTACTTCAAAAACACTACAAAATGATTAATTTTCTTTTTACTGTAGTTTGATAGCTACTCAATTTTTTCGATAAATAAATTCTATGTGTTTACTACTTTTCTTCAATTTCATATATAGTGTATAGCTTTGGGATAGTTCAAGCAATATTGTGCGTTATTTTTTTTTTTTTGTTCAAATCCACAATTAGTGTGGGTTATATTGTTCTAGTTCCAAAAACCAGTGTTTATTTTGTTACCTCTCATAAATATTGGGGGTTATTTTGACATAATAGTGCGGGTTATTATGTTGTACTTCCAGAAATACTGTTGGTTTTTTGTTCTAGTTCGAGAAATAGTGTCTGTTATGTTAATTCATGATCATAAATACTGTGGAATCTTTTGTTGTGGTTCATAGACTAATGTAGATTTTGTTCCCTTTCATAACAGTGTGGGTTGTTTTGGTTTGGTTTCACAAATACTGTGAGTTTTTTTTTGTTGTTGTGACAAAAATAGTACTGGTGATTTTGGTTCACTTTCAAAAATATAGTGTTGGTTAGTTTGATGTAATTCTACAAATAATGTTTACTTTCTTACCTTCCAAACACATTGTGGGTTATTTTGATTCATTTCATAATAGTGTGAGTTTATTTAATGTAGTTCCTAAAATAACATGCGTTATTTTGTTGCAGTTGAAGAAATAGTGTCCTAACAATTTTTATTGTTGCAGATGGAACAAACAAAAACACTTACAATGAAGAGTAAACTAAGAAAAAATAAGTTAAAAAGAAGAAGAAATACTTCCAGTATAGATGCAACATGACGGGGTTTGTAGACGCAATGCAAGTATACAAGCCTATGATGCTATAACGTCAAGATATCCGTAACGAACTAGCGAAGACTCTATTTTAGAGTCTACTGAAGACATACATGGACAAGACCTGGATTAAAACAGAAAGAAAGAAGAAGCCCGACATGAACTTTATTAAAATCATTCAATGCTACAACCCTAAAAACCAAAAATTCAAATTTGGACATCATTAACCAAGGGATCCAATGATAACATTGTTCAAATATTTGGATTGGATAACCAAGGAGTTGATCTTCCAAATACTAACAAGTCCATCAAATTCGGCAACAACAACCACCTCATCACAAAATACTTCAAAGATGCAAAGATTTTCAAGAAGAAGCATATAACAGAAGCCTACGAAAATTCACTCCAAGACTAAACACCTAAGAGCGCAAAAGATACCGCTACACTAATATGCGCACACCTCATTCAGTCACTCCTATTTGTGAACTCTGGAACTTTCATGACATGGAGTTTTCTAAAAATCTATGGGAACATGGAGGAGATAAGCAATTACAACTAAGTAAGGAGTAAGAGACTATCTCTTCAAAATGTTTGACAAAGCACAAACAAAAAAAAAAAAAAGAGAGAGGAGAAGAACTGACAACAAGTTCCTACACCATCCTTGTTTTGGTAAGTACTCAAAATAATAGTATGAAAAAACATGAATTGTTTCTTACAAATTTCACAAAACTAACTTTACTTCCTTAATTCACACGGTACTGGATACGTCTTCACACAAATCTAGTGATGACAATATAAGGACGAGAAAACATGATTCTAGCAATCACAAAATGGGACACGAGCATGATACATAAAGCAAACAAGGATGTCTTCACACACAATACTTTATGTATCATGCTCGTGTTTCATCTTGTGATTGTTGGAATCTTGTTTTCTCGTCCTTGTATTGTCTTCACCAGATTTTTGTGAAGACATCTAATACTGTGTGAATTAAGAACGTAAAGTTAGTTTTGTTGGATTTGTAAGAAACAATTCATGTTCTTTTATACTATTATTTGATTTCTTACCAAAACAATGACTGTACAACTGCTTGTTGGTTCTTCTCCTCCCTTTTTTTTTTTGTTTATGCTTTGTCAAGCATCTTGAAGAGATAGTCTCTTACTCATTTGCCCAGTTGTAATTGTTTATCTCCTCCAAGTTCCCACAGATTTTCAAAAAACTCCATGTGATGTAAGTTCTAGAGTTCGCAAACAGGAATGACTGAATGAGGTGTGCACATATTAGTGCAGCGGTATCTTTTGGGCCCTCAGGTGTTCGGTCTTGGAGTAATTTTTCGTAGGCTTCTGTTATATGTTTCTTCTTGACAATCTTTGCATCTTTGAAGTATTTGGTGACGAGGTGGTCGTCATCACCGAATTTGGTGGACTTGTCAGTATTTGGAAGATCAACTCCTTGGTTGTTCAATCCAGATTTGAACAACGTATTCACTGGATATTCCCCTTGGTTCATGATCTCTGAACTTTTGGTTTTTTGGGCTTGTAGCATTGAATGATTTTAATCGAGTCCATGTCCGACTTCTTCTTTCTTTCTGTTGTAATCAAGGTCTCGTCCATGTATGTCTTCAATAGACTCCAAAATAGTTTCTTCGCTAGTTCGTCATGTACATCTTGACGTTGTAGTAGCATAGGCTTGTATACTTGCATTGTGTTGCAAACCCGGTCATGTTGCATCTATACTAGAGGTACTCCTTCTTTTTAACTTGTTTTTTCTTAGTTGAACTCTTCATTGTAATTGTTTTTGTTTGTTCCATCTGCAACAATGAAAATTGTCAGGACACTATTTCTTGAACTATAAGAAAGTAACGCATATTATTTATGGAACTACGCTAAACAAACTCACGCTATTTATGAAATGAACCAATATAACCCACAATGTGTCTAGAAGGTAAGAAAACACTATTTGTGAAACAACGCCAAACTAACCAACACTATTTTTCTGAAAGTGAAACAAACTCACCCGCACAATTTTTGTGACGACAACAAAAAAACTCATAGTATTTCTGAAATCGAACCAAAACAACCCACACTGTTTATGAAAGGGAACCAAAATAAACCACAATGTGTCTGGAAGGTAAGAAAATAAACACTATTTGTGGAATTACGTCAAACTAACCAACACTATTTTTCTGAAAGTGAAACAAACTCACCCACACAATTTTTGTAATGACAACAAAAACACTCATAGTATTTCTGAAAACGAACCAAAACAACTCGTACTGTTTATGAAAGGGAGCAAAATCAACATTTGTCGTGAACTACAACAAAATATCCCAAACTATTTGTGATCATGAATTAACATAACGCACACAATTTCTCGAACTAGAATAAAAAACCAACATACAGTATTTCCAAAAGTACAACATAATAACCTACACTATTTTGTAAAAGTGATAAAAAATAACCCCCCATTATTTATGAGAGGTAACAAAATAAGCACTATTTCTGGAACTAGAACAATATAACCCACACTAGTTGTGGAATTGAACCAAAAATAACACACAATATTGCTTGAACTATCCCAAAGTTATACATTATAACAAAAAATAACACACCGTATTGCATGAACTATCCCAACATTATACATTATATATGAAATTAAAGAAAAGTAGGAAACACACAGAATTTTTTTATCGAAAAAAGTTGAGTAGTTATCAAACTGCAGTAAAAAGAAAATTAATCATTTTGTAGTGTTTTCTAAGTAAGAATTGATAGGTTTATAGAATCACGAACATGCAAACATACATATTACTGTATTTTGGAATTGAGAAGTTAACAAGGATGTAAGTTTAGTACCTCTTGTTCGCTTGGAATTTGTGGTTGCTATGAGATTTTAATCGCCGATTCTTTTGCCATTGATGAACTTTCGTCTACTTCCTTGAAATTGAAGATTTCTTGCGTTTTGGAAGATGTTTGGTTTTTATAGAAATCGGAATGGTAGTTATAGTTATGCAATTGTCAGTTTCATTAAAATCGATTGGTAGAGGGGTGTAATTAGTTTCAAATTGTTAGTGGGCTTTGTTTTGTTTGTTAAGGGCAATTTTGAAAACTTATTTTTGAGTGTTTTGGGCTTTGTAATCCAATCCGAGTAGAATTTTGGGGCTTGTCCTTGTCCATAGCCCAAGCCTTTTTCATTAAAGCTCATTTTTTATTTATTAAAGCTCCATTTCTTATTAGATTGCTTACAACTCACAAGGCTTATAAGAAATTAAGAGCTAATAAGTAAACCATCTTATAAACAGCTTAATCTAAATCAAGCATTTTTCGAGTGGTTGGCAGGTCAGGGTTGATCAATTACGCACACCAGAACATGGGTGAGCCACATTTGAATTATTAAATCGGTGTCAATCGACAATATTAAAGTAGCTCTAAACAAACACTGTAAGTATGTAAATATAATCAAAGCAATGATAAATAACCCAACACTAATTAAAAGAAAAATAGGACTGAACCAAGCCTACACCCAAATTACCTTTACATACAAATAAACATATTTACGGAACTCAGGATCCTCCACTAAAGCTTGCATCTGTCAGAAGTTTCAACAACCCCTCTGATTCCTCGTTCAACAGTTCAATGTCAACAATGAGTAGCAACAAATGTTCATAACCACACGCAAGCATAATGACATAAAATGATAGATTTTCACCAATTTTTCAAGTCTTACACAAAGTATGAGTTACAAACTGCAGAGGTTCCTTAGTCCACGAACTATCAATACCAGATCTATCTGGATGTGCCCTTCCCTATAAGACCAGAGCAAACGATGCAGAGAAAATGTGTCTATCCAATACCAAAGAAGACCATATATAGATACAAACAAGGTGGAAGAATTACCAGTATAATCCCTAGATAGTGCAACAATATTCTGGTTAGACAACCCCATCCTACAAAACTTTTCCCTCAAATGTGGTGCACCTATTATCAAAACATAAAAGACACCGACAAGAAATTAAACTTCTTTTAATGAACAACAAAAAACTCATCTCCCAAACAATTTAACTGAAAATGATACACAAGAAAAGTATGCCAACTTCTCATCTCCAGCATTCTTAGGCCATCTTCAACCGAATGGTCCAGTGGGCTAGAGGGCCGAAAATAGCCCGAAAACCGTCTCCAACCGAGGGCTAGGCCAGAGGGCTCGTGGGCCTGACGAAATCTAAAAGAGCCAAAAGGCTGGCCCCTTCCAGCCAGCCCCGGGCTGGCCAGAATTTTGTGTAAAAGTGTCAGATTTCCTGTCGAATATAACCAACAGGAATAGTAATTTGAATATAAATGGCATCGCAAGAATCAGTTTGACTCGGCGGAATCGTGTCGGTTAATTTGAATTGCAATTGTGTCAGTTATTATCGACACGAATAGTTTAAAATTTTGAATACAACGGCTAGCTGACTGAAGCTAGTCGTTGCCTTACATTTTTTTTTGTTATGAATTTAAACCTTTTTTTTTTCTTCTATAAATACCTAAGTCATTCCTACATCATTTCTCACATAATTTTCACCCTTGCATACTATCTCATTTCATTCTATTTCAAATTTAAGTTGTAGTTTTTAAATTTAAGTTGTTGTTTTTAAATTTAAGTTGTTGTTGATTTAAATAATAAATTATGTTTGGCCCTCGATTGGAGACGGTTTTTTATGACAGGGCTAAAACGAGCCCTATGGCCCTTTGGCCCTCGGTTGGAGACGGAGGTAAATATGACCCTTTACTGTTCATTAAAATATTAATATCTTGGAGGACCATATGGCTAAAAGGAGCCCTCTGGCCAGCCCTCGGTTGGAGATGGCCTTAATACACTTACAAAGCTAGGAGATGGGGAGAAGTGGGTTGAGTTTTAACATGGAGCAACTTATAGCAATTCCATGGAAAAACAGAGGAATCCCACCATGCAAACCAATCTGAACTTAAGAGTATATTAGTGGTGTGACAACAAAAATGAGTAATATTCAAAAAAAGAGGTGGAAGGCATCAGTCGCTTTCGTGGCTTGGTTGAGCTCATAGGAAACCTGTGCACACTAATGACTAGAACTATTTGCATGAAGAACTTGTAGCCAACACCGAGAACGACCTATTTAAGACATGTACCATGTTAGTATGTTACACATCCTGACATAGATACAAAGCTGCTTAACCAGTATCTCTGACTCTTATAACTTACGAGTTTGCTACACATTAACCACTAAAAGCAACACATTTATAAGAGTAACAAATTTGAATTACAGAAAGCAAAAGGCAATGCCAAAATATAACAGAGATGTTATTAGAAAACTCTTCATGTAGTCTAACCAGAAAACTTCTTAGTCTCTGAAATGTAAACGATACAATTTATGAATTATAATCCAATTAAAATGCTAGCATACCAGAAATATAAAAATTGGGAAAATTAAATATTGAAGAAGATATCTAAGGTATTGGAATAAACCTCGTTTAGCATCTGGAAGTCGTCCTTCCGTAGGAGAAATTTTAGAATCCTAAGAAAAAGTACAAAAAAGCAGATGAAAACTTGAAAGCAATGATAAGGAAACTTGCCATGTTTCTTGAAATAAGTGATCACTGACCACAACATACCTTCCTGCCTGAAGAAAAATCAATGACGGGGCCTCCAGTGACCTCAACTGCAATAACACCCGCAAGCTGAAAATACAAGTAATCATGCCCTTAATCACTATGCTATCTCCGACATAGTTAGGAAAAACTGTGGTGATCTATGTAAAACCTCTTCACTTGCTAATAATTTGATGAACTAATTATATTCAGGCTGAGTAAATCTTTCAGAGAACTATAATCACCTGGTATAGGTCTGCATATGTAATCCTTGTGTCACGGGCCATGTGTCAAGAACAAAGAAATGCCCAAGACATCATATATCTAAGCCCATGAAGCCATGTCTTCATGGAAGCTTCTGGAACGTCCCGGAGAAATCAAGAACATGGCGGAGCATTCAAGATAATCTAGGGAATTCCGGAACATTCCACACAAGTGTACCTATTTAAAGCCTCACCTAGAACAATCTAGATTAGGCAAGTTGTATCTAGAACTATGCTAGATATTTCTGGATGTAAGTAGGGGATTCTAGAACCCTCCATTGAGGAGGTGACTTAGGCCTATAAATAGGAGGCAAGGCCATTTGGCCAAACCATCCAAGAGTTGTAAGCAATTGTAAAGTTCTCTTAAGTTTCAATACAAAGCTTCCTTTCTCCCATCTTCTAAGTGATCTTAGCATTCTCCAAGCTATCTTAGCTTTCTTTGTGATTCGATCCGGGGAAGCGAGGCTTCGAAGGCTTACTTAGCTTGTTCATAGAGGTATTCAAGTCTAAGTGCCGCACGGGCGGAAGGCTTAAAAGAGTCATCCCGTGACAGCTGGTATCAGAGCCAAGCTCGTGAATCACTTGAAGGAAAGTAGGATATGGCAAGTGGAGAGATGGTGTCCGGAGTCTCCGACCTAAGGGAGCGTACTGCCGAGGTCCAAGACGTTGCCAAGAGCAAGCCAAAGTTAAAGGACTTGCAAGCATCGATGGAGACCATGGAAGAGCGACTCGAGAAGGTGGAACGAACCATACTCGAGTTCGATACTCGACTTGATGAGGACGTTGTCGACAAGGAGGAAATCCAAACCATGGTGGACAATGGTAAGGATGAATTGCGTGGCTTGGTGGAAGGGCTACGAGATGAGCTCCTTGGCGCTCTCAACACCATGGCAGACAAGATGCGGAGGGAAGTCCAGGTTCACCTTGACAACATAGAGGCAAGGTTTGTGGCGCTTCAAGAAGAGATAAAGGACACAAGGGAACTTAAGGGAGATGTGGCGTTTTGTAAAGAAGCAGTCGTGAAGCAATTCGTGCAAGGGTCGAGGGAAATCAAGGCGTTGGACTCCAAGGTAATCGACTCCTTTAAACCCAAATCCTATAATGGGAAGAGGGAAGCAAAGGAGCTCGACACATTCGTGTGGGAACGTGGAGCGATACTTCAAGTACCTGAAGCTTGAAGATGACGAGTCCAAAATCTCAACGGCAACCATGTTCTTAGCTGACAATGCCCTTATGTGGTGGCGTCGCCGAAGCATGGAGATTGAGCAAGGTACGTTCTCTCTCTCACCACTTGGGATGAATTTAAGAAAGATCTTATGTTGCACTTCTATCCCCAAAATGCCAAGTACGAAGCCAAGGAGAAACTAAGGTGGCTCAAGCAAACGGGGAGCGTCAAAGACTATGTCAACGCCTTCGTGAGCTTGTTATTCGAGGTGCCCAACATGTTAGAGGAAGACAAGCTCATGTACTTCATGAGTGGACTGCAAAATTGGGCAAAACTCGAACTACAAAGGAGGCACGTGCAAACATTGTCTGATGCCATTGCCGTCGCTGAATCCTTGATTGAGTTTAAATCAAGCCACCAAGGTGATTCCAAGTCCACGGGGAAGAGGGGTAACCATGAGAGAAGTGGGGGAGAACACAAGCCGAAGGACAAGGCCGAGACAAGCAAACCGAAGGAGAAGAAAGCCGATAAGCATGACAAAGGCAAGGGTAAGTCTTGGCAACCCACTTGTTACCTATGCGACGGCCCTCACATGATGCGAGATTGCCCACAAAAGAAGGCCCTTAAGGCCATGGCCTTCAAGGAGGACAAGGCCGAGGAGAGTAACGATGCAACGATAGGATGCATCCGTCTACTGAATGCCATCCAGACAACCCTCCCACAACCTAAGGCTCAAGTTGGGGGAGGATCATTGTTCGTCGACGTCAAGACTGGTGACAAGACGACGCGTGTGTTGGTGGACACGGGAGCAACACACAACTTCATGACGTCGGAGGAAGCCACAAGGCTTGGCCTCCGAGTCACCAAGGAGCCCGGTAGCGTGAAGACGGTAAATTCCGCTGCCACCCTCATTGTTGGAGTTGCGCGCAATGTACACGTAGACATTGGCACATGGAAGGGAACAATCGACTTCACCGTAGTCAAGATGGACGACTATGGCGTAGTCATTGGGTTAGAGTTCATGGACAAGGTACGAGCCTTTCCCCATTCCCTTCTACAATATTTTCTGTATCCTAGCCGACGGAAGACAACCTTGCCTGGTACCATTGGAAAGGCAAGCCAAGAAGTGTACCCAGCACTTGTCGGCAATTCAATTTGCCAAGTCTTGGAAGAAAGGCGAGGCCACATTTCTTGCAACCCTAATGTTGAATGAAGGGGAGGAGAAGCACGGGCCTTTGCCGAAACAAGTGGAAGACGTCCTTGTGGAGTTTGCGGACGTGATGCCTAAGGAACTGCCAAAGAAGTTGCCACCAAGGAGAGAGGTCGACCATGCGATTGAGTTGGAGCCTGGTGCTAAGCCTCCCTCCAAATCACCTTATAGGATGTCGCCACCCGAGTTGGAGGAATTAAGGAAGCAACTCAACGAGCTACTTGATGCTGGCTACATCCAACCCTCCAAGTCCCCATATGGTGCACCCGTCTTGTTCCAACGCAAGAAAGAAGGTAGCCTAAGGTTGTGCATCGACTATAGAGCATTGAACAAGATTACCATCAAGAACAAGTACCCACTTCCGTTGATCGCCGACTTATTCGATCAACTTGGTGAAGCAAGGTACTTCACAAAGTTAGATCTTCGATCGGGATACTACCAAGTGAGGATAGCCCCTGGAGACGAATTGAAGACGGCGATGGTGACCAGATATGGAGCGTTCGAGTATAAAGTCATGCCATTTGGTCTAACCAATGCCCCCGCAACATTCTGCACATTGATGAACAAGGTATTCCATCCTTATCTTGACAAGTTTGTCGTGGTTTACATTGATGATATCGTTATCTACAGCAAGACATTGGAGGAGCACGTCAAGCACTTGCGCATAGTGTTCAAGACCCTTCGGGAGCATGAACTCTATGTCAAGAAGGAGAAATGCTCCTTTGCCACAAAAGAAGTAGAATTTCTTGGCCACAAGATAAATGAGGGGAAACTTATGATGGAAAAGGGCAAGATCAAGGCCATTCAAGAGTGGGAACCGCCGACCAAGGTACCAACACTACGATCCTTTCTGGGGCTAGCCAACTACTATCGGAGATTCATTAAAGGGTATTCAGCCATAGCAGCACCCTTAACAGACCTTCTTAAGAAGAACAAGGCATGGGAATGGACGGACCGATGTCAAGAGGCCTTTGAGAGGTTGAAGAAGGCCCTAATGGAGGAGCCTGTACTAAGGTTGCCCGATCTTAGTAAGCCATTTGAATTGCACACTGATGCTTCCGACTTTGCCATAGGAGGAGTGTTGATGCAAGAGGGACATCCAATAGCCTATGAAAGTCGCAAGCTAAACAATGCCGAGAAAAGGTACACGACCCATGAAAAGGAGATGACCGCCATCGTCCATTGCCTTAGAGTTTGGAGGCATTACTTGCTTGGTACCCCATTCATCATCAAGACGGACAACGTTGCCACTAGCTACTTTCAAACCCAACAAAAGCTCACACCTAAGCAAGCAAGGTGGCAAGAGTTCTTAGCGGAGTTTGATTACAAGCTAGAGTACAAGAAAGGAAAGGAGAACGTGGTGGCCGATGCTCTAAGTAGACGAGTAGAGTTAATGGCCACGGTACTCAAGCCGCAAAGCCATCTCTTGGGCCGTGTCCGAGAAGGTTTATCACATGACGTCCAAGCCAAGAACATTGTGGAGTTTGTCAAGGATGGGAAGTCAAGGAGGTTTTGGCTTGAGGACGGCATGCTATACACCAAGGGCAAGCGGATCTACGTCCCAAAGTGGGGAAGCTTAAGGAAAGAAATCCTGAAGGAGTGCCATGACTCAATGTGGGCAGGACATCCTGGCACTCACCGCACGTTGGCTTTGGTGAGCGATGCTTATTATTGGCCACAAATGCGGGATGATGTAGATTCATACGTGAAGACTTGTCTTGTGTGCCAACAAGACAAAGTGGAACAAAGGCAACCGGGAGGACTGTTGGAACCACTTCCCACCCCATCAAGACCATGGGAGTGTTTGACCATGGATTTCATCACACATTTGCCCAAGTCTGATGGATGTGGATCTATCTTCGTCGTGGTCGATAGATTCACAAAGTATGCCACTTTCATACCCGCACCTGTGGAGTTCACAGCCGAAGTAGCTGCACGCTTGTTTTTAAAGCACGTGGTGAAGTATTGGGGAGTTCCGAGGAGCATAGTTAGTGATCGAGATGCTCGATTCACGGGCAGATTTTGGAAGGAGCTCTTCAAGCTACTTGGCTCAAGGTTAGACTTCTCCACAGCTTTTCATCCCCAAACCGATGGACAAACGGAGCGGGTTAATGCATTGTTGGAGACTTATTTGCGGCACTATGTTAGTGCCAATCAACGAGATTGGGCTAAGTTACTTGATATTGCCCAATTCTCTTATAACTTGCAACGTTCGGAGTCGACGGGGAAAAGTCCGTTCGAGTTGGCTACAGGGCAACAACCCTTGACCCCGAACACGGTCGTGACTGGCTACACGGGGAATAGTCCAGCCGCTTTCAAAACCGCTAAAGAGTGGCAATTAGCCCACGAACTTGCTCGAGCTCACTTGGAGAAGGCTTCAAAGAAGATGAAGAAATGGGCGGATCGTAAGCGAAGGAATGTGGAGTTCCAAACTGGCGACCAAGTCTTTGTGAAGCTCAATGCGTCTCAACACAAGAGTACTCGTGGCTTGCACAAAAGCTTGTTGCGGAAATATGAGGGACCATTCCCTATCATCAAGAAGGTTGGCAAAGCCGCTTATGTTGTGGAACTCCCACCCCGTCTCAAGTTTCACCCGGTGTTCCATGTGAGCAACTTGAAGCCTTATCATGCAGACAATGAGGAACCAAGCCGAGGTGAGTCTCATCGAGCACCCCCTTTGATGACAGAGGCATTTGACAAAGAAGTAGAGAGCATTGAAGCTAAGCGTGTCGTGGTGCGACCAAGACAACCAAAGCATGTGGAGTACTTTGTCAAATGGAAGGGGCTACCATACTCCGAAGCAACATGGGAGAAGGAGACGTCCTTATGGCAATATAAGGACTTGATTCAGACATTCAAGAGGCAGGAGTCGACGAGGACGTCGACGGTTTAAGTGGGGGAGGATGTCACGGGCCATGTGTCAAGAACAAAGAAATGCCCAAGACATCATATATCTAAGCCCATGAAGCCATGTCTTCATGGAAGCTTCTGGAACGTCCCGGAGAAATCAAGAACATGGCGGAGCATTCAAGATAATCTAGGGAATTCCGGAACATTCCACACAAGTGTACCTATTTAAAGCCTCACCTAGAACAATCTAGATTAGGCAAGTTGTATCTAGAACTATGCTAGATATTTCTGGATGTAAGTAGGGGATTCTAGAACCCTCCATTGAGGAGGTGACTTAGGCCTATAAATAGGAGGCAAGGCCATTTGGCCAAACCATCCAAGAGTTGTAAGCAATTGTAAAGTTCTCTTAAGTTTCAATACAAAGCTTCCTTTCTCCCATCTTCTAAGTGATCTTAGCATTCTCCAAGCTATCTTAGCTTTCTTTGTGATTCGATCCGGGGAAGCGAGGCTTCGAAGGCTTACTTAGCTTGTTCATAGAGGTATTCAAGTCTAAGTGCCGCAAGGGCGGAAGGCTTAAAAGAGTCATCCCGTGACACTTGGATGCTTAGACTTCACTTCCTCTGACATAAAAGAGAAGCACCGGTCAAAATACATTGTCTACCTGTCTTAAAAGCAAGACTCTCAATTCATTATTTGTACGTAATCTTTGTAGATGTAATGATCATACAATTTTGTATAATGGCCAAACGAATGACACTATAGTTACATATATATTGAAACATGCAAGGCACCTTGGAGACAACCTAATATGCTACATAATGTCAACTTTAATACACGGTTGCTTACTAATGAATTCATTACAGTTCCCTTATCAGTTTCATTTAGAAATAAGAATCTGAGGCTAACCCAAGTATGCACATTGTCTTCTCAGTTGCATATACAAGACCGTAAAACCATCTAAATTTGTTAAATGCTCGGCATTAAGGACTTGCGCTATCTGAATTGCAAACAAAGACCAATTGTAGAAGAGATGCATGTTCACTATCACCAATAAACTCATATAAACAACCAATGAACCAATAAAGCTTGCATGATGTTTAAATGAATTACTGATTTTTTTACAGCTATAAGATCAACTGATCAAGTTTAGTAAATTGAATAACGATTGACGATATGAAACAGCAGAAACGAACATACCACAAAAATCAATAGCCTTCTTCAAGCCATTGTTGGAACCTATATTGGGTAATATTGTAACTACACTATCTAGGGATATTACTTAGTGATTAAGTATTTGTTAGTTAGTTATAGTTTACTCACCTTAGTGGTTACAATATACTTGTATATATATATACTCAAAGTGTAACTTTATTCAGTTGAATAAATGAAATCATTTTATCAAATATGGTATCACTTGCCTTCTCTGTCTAACGACTTCGATCTCATCACTCCCACTTCTCTCCCTACCTTGTTCGATCTCTTCTTCGATCGATTCTCTTGATCTCTTGATCGATTTCTTGATCTTGTTCAAGTTTCTTGATCTCTGCTCGAATTTAGCCATGGTATCTCCTTCGTCGGAATCAGCTTCTCCTGTTCATCATGTTCCAACTGCCTCTCCAAACCCTAATTCTCTTAATTCCGTCTCTGTCACGATCCAAAACATCGGATCTATGGTGCCAATCAAGCTCACCACCACAAATTACTTGACCTAGAGTGCTCTATTTGCTCCGATTTTTCGTCGTTACAACCTCACCGGTCACATTGATGGATCTATGGTGGCGTCGCCTCAATTTCTTGATTCTTTGGGAAATCGCACTCTCAATCCTGAGTTTGTTTTGTGGTATGAGAATGATCAAAATATTCTCATCTGGCTCAATTCTACCCTCTCTGAATCCCTAATTCCCTATACGGTTGGTGTGAATTCTGCTCACGAACTTTGGGCGAAGTTGGAATCTCACCTCGCCACGGCTTTTCAGTCTCACATTCATGAGCTTCGATCTCATCTTCGTAATCTTACCAAGGGTGATTCTACTGCTGCTCAGTATCTTCAGCAAATTGAGGCAATTGCTGATGCCCTTGCTAGTGCCGGCTCTCTGGTAGACGATTCTGATTTGCTTTCTGTCACTCTACATGGTTTGCCCCTTGAGTATGATTCGTTCGTTGATGCCATTCAATTCCGTCTTGGATTTACGACTATTGATGAGCTACATGGTATGTTGCTTAGCAAAGAGATACAATTAGTCAATCGAAGAAAAACCACCTCAGACTCCTCTACATTTCAGGCTCTCCACAGTTCTGCCGGTATTCTTCCCATTCTAACACTCAACCCTAATTCTCAGGCTTTTGTTGCTCAGTCTTCTTCTGCCTTCAATACTCAAGGTCGTGGCATGGATCGCAATTATAATCGTGGCTGATCTTCTTCTTGTGGCAATACCAATCGTTCCACCAATACCAATTTTCGTTACAATCGTGGAGGCCGCCAACATTTCTCATCTTACACCAAGAAGAATTCGTGTCAAATTTGTCATCAATTCGATCATGAGGCCTCTGATTGCCCTCATCGCATGAATCCGGCTTATAGTGGCAAACCCTCTCACTCAGATATGGTGGCCAATTCCTCATCATCCACTCCATCTTGGATTATCGACTCTGGCGCTACATTTCATATGACCAACTCCTATGCAGCCTTGCAAAATCCTAAAGCCTATACTGGTCCAAAATAAGTGTACATTGGTGATGGCAAAGGTTTGCCCATCACTCACTCTAGCTCTACTACTTTGACCACATTTGATAGTACTTTTCAGCTTAATAAAGTACTATATGTTCATGCATTAAAACATAATCTTCTCTCTGCAAATCAATTTCTTATTAATAACAAATGTTCTATGCATCTTTATCCTACTCACTTCACTGTGAAGGATCTTTCTTCGGGGAGGATGCGTTTTAAAGGACTTGTCCATCATGGTTTCTATCATTTTCATTTCTCTTCTTCTGCACCTGATCAGCAGCATGCTCTCACTGCATCTGTTAAAGCTTCCAATGATGTGTGGCACCAGAGATTGGGTCATCCTTCAGTCAAGATCATAGATAAACTTGCAGCACAGTCTTGTATTTCAGTTTTATCTCATTCAACTAAGTCTTTTTGCTCAGATTGTGCACTAGGAAAATGTTCTCGACTTCCTTTTACTTCTACAGTTTGTACAACTAGCAAGCCACTCAAACTTGTACACACGAATGTTTGGGGACCGTCACCTATAGCTTCTTGTCAAGGTTTCAGATATTATGTCATCTTTGTTGATGACTTTACCCATTATTGTTGGTTCTATCATTTAAAGTACAAGTCTGACGTAATGTCCACTTTTATGCAATACAAATCTCTTGTTGAAACCTCTCTATGTACAAAGATCATTGCTTTACGATCAGATTCTGGTGGTGAATATGTGAACACTCAGTTTTCACAATTTTTAACTACACATGGTATTCAGCATCAACTAACTTGCCCTCACACTCCTGAACAAAATGGATGTGCAGAACGCAAGCATCGCTACTTATTTGAAACAGCTCGGACAATGCTAGCAGCTTCTAAGCTACCTCATACTTATTGGGTTGAAGCTTTTCACACAACCATTTATCTTATCAACCAAATGCCAACTGCATCACGATCATCTCCTTGGGAATCTTTATATCATCGGGTACCTAACTACAATTTCTTGAAGGTCTTCGGCTATGCTTGTTTCCCTTGGTTAAAGCCTTACACTTCTTCTAAGTTGGATCCTCAGAGTAAAGCTTGTGTATTTCTTGGTTACAGTCTGAATCATAAGGGCTATAGGTGCCTTGATCCTGCCACCAACAGGTTATACATCTCTCGGCATGTTATCTTTAATGAGTCTCATTTCCCATTTCACTATATTTCATCTTCTCAATCTTCAATCTCACATTCCTCTTCTGGATCTCTTATTCCCTCCACTCTTACTTTTAAACTTCCTACACATACACCTTCATCTTCATCTACACCTACACCTCCATCTACCCTGTCTCCCTCTTCTCAGAATCCTATCTCACTTAACCATATTTTGTCTTTTTCCATACTCTCATCTTCTCATTCTTCTATGGAAGTTGCAGAACCTTCTCTCATTCCCTCTCTCAATACTCATTCCATGCAAACACGATCAAAATCTGGCATTTTCAAGCCACGGGCACTCACTGCCACTAAACACCCTCTCCCATCTCATCTATCTCCTGATTATATACCTACTACATATCTCCAAGCTTCAAAGTCTTCTCATTGGCGTCAAGCTATGCAAGAAGAAGTCAATGCCTTTATCAACACTGGCACATGGTCTCTTGTTCCCAAATCTACATCTCAGAACATTGTAGGCTGCAAGTGGGTGTTCCGAATTAAAAGAAAGCCAGATGGTACTATTGATCGGTATAAGGCTCGCCTTATGGCCAAGGGATTCAATCAACAAGAAGGTTTAGATTACACAGAGACTTTCAATCCGGTAGCAAAACCCGTTACTATTCGAATTCTTCTCACCCTTGCGGCTCAGTATGATTGGTATTTAAACCAACTCGATGTCAGCAATGCCTTTCTACATGGGACACTTACTGAATCTGTTTTCATGCATCAGCCTCGTAGTTTTGAAGATTCTACACAACCATCTCATGTCTGTCACTTGCACAAATCCTTATATGGTTTGAAACAAGCTTCGAGAGCTTGGTATGAGAAACTTCATGGTGCTCTTCAGTCACTTGGTTTTCACGGCTCTTCCAATGATCATTCATTGTTCATTAAAAAGGTTTCCAACTCTGCTGTGGTGTTCATTTTAGTGTATGTTAATGACATTTTAGTCACTGGACCCAATTCTGCTGAATGTCGAAAGGTTATTCATCAACTTAGCTCCATGTTTCCCATTAAAGATCTCGGACCTCTTTATTTTCTTGGTCTTGAAGTCAAACGCTCATCTTCTGGTATTTTCATATCTCAGACCAAATATATTGTGGATCTACTTTCCAAAGCCAACATGACTGGTGCTAAACCCTGTACCACACCTTTTAGCACTTCTAAGCTTGATCATGACTCCCCTTTGTGTGATAATATCTCTGAGTATCGATCCTTGGTTGGTGCACTTCAATACCTTACATGAACACAACCGGATCTCAATTTTGCAGTGAATCTTGTCTATCAATATATGCATCAACCCAGAATTTCCCATTTTCAAGCGGTCAAGCGCATTCTTCGATATCTTAAGGGCTTCATTGATATGATTTTCCAAAAGTTCTACACCTCCCACACTCACTACATTCTTAGATGCTGATTGGGCTGGCTGTGCCCTTGATCGTCGATCTATTGGAGGATATTGTGTTTTTCTGGGCAATTCCTTGATCAGCTGGAGTGCAAAGAAGCAACCCACTGTTGCTCGATCTTCAACAGAGGCAGAATATTGCTCTCTTGCCAACACTGCTTCTGAAATCACTTGGGTCTGTCAGTTGTTACTAGACATTGGTTATTGTTTGCCTCACACTCCTCAAATTTGGTGTGACAATATTTCTGCAATATCTCTTGCTAAGATCCTATATTTCATGCCTGGACCAAGCATGTGGAAATAGACTATCATTACATTTGCAAGAAAGTCTTAGCTCGTAAGATCTCTGTGCATTTTGTTTGTACCCAAGATCAGGTTGCTGATATTTGCACAAAGTCTCTGTCAAAATCCCGATTTCATTTTCTTCGTGGCAAACTTCAACTTCGGGTTCCCCGGTTTTGTTTGAGGGGAGATATAAAGGGTAATATTGTAACTACACTATCTAGGGATATTACTTAGTGATTAAGTATCTGTTAGTTAGTTATAGTTTACTCACCTTAGTGGTTACAATATACTTGTATATATATACTCAAAGCATAACTTTATTCAGTTGAATAAATGAAATCATTTTATCAAATAGAACCATGATAGTACTCTTCCTCTTTCCGAATCGACCCATTCGGCCCACCCGTCTTCGTCTTGGCATCGTAGGTCCCACCACCGTGCCACCTACAAATTCACACCTCCAAAAACAATGAATCGTAACTCCAACAAAATCGATACAAACAAGGACATGCAACGCAAATGCTGTGATAGTTATGATTGGCTACTGAGAAAATGCAAGAAACGGATTTGGATATTTCGTTTATCGAAAATTTCATCGGGAAACAAACAGAGAGAGAGAGCATACGCCCAGCGGAGCATGATCGGAGCGCAACTTCGGCTGTAAATGAGAGCGCGGAGATCGCGTCGAGCCTTGGAGCCATGTCGATTTCTTTGAGGTACTCTTTGTCAACGAGCGGCGACGTCATCGGAACCGGAAGTGGGTGCTCTCGATTGTGACTCGGAGCGAAGAGAGAGGGCGATGAGACTGATAGTGCAACTGTGCAAATGAGGTTTAGAGAGCGCGCGAGAGCGAAAGACCCAGTAAATGAGGAGACTGCACTGAAACTGCTCACAAGGTCATAATGGTCATTTCGCCATTCCCAGAATAATTGTAGGATACCTTGATTCGGTTAAGAATAATGCTTTGGAGATCAAAGTTTTAAACAAAATTTGTAAAACAAATGACATATCACAAATAGGAAATAAGCACGTTGATAAATACTTAAGTAATATTCCATTCATCAACATCCACATTGTTTGGTAAATAAAGTTTAGTTTAAAACTTTTGTCTTCCTAATATTATCTGTTAGTTAAACTAATATATTAAAGTTCAATTAATTTTTCAAAATTCTAATTCTTCTATTTGCAATTTAGGGATGTAGTGTATTGAGATTTATGCGGACATTTTATTGAGTTTTTAATGTGATAGACTGTGATAGAATTACTCACTATTATATATTCTATAAATTCCATAGACTTCTGTTGAATTCTAGAGAGTTCAATGCTAGAATGTTTTTTTAAATAATGTGATTGTCAAGCAGTCTGAGCAAGATATGACTTATTTGAAATTAATTAAATGAACAATTTATAATAAAAAAATCTTTCTATGGCAGTTCATATATTCTCCAGTCCCTTACCAATTCTTGGTCATTGAGAGGTATAGTCAATACAGATTAATATTTAAGGATAACTATTACCTCTCCCTTCTATGGTATAGAGAATGATTCTCATTTCAGTCGATTTTATTAAAAAAAAATTTTGGTCAATCTGTAAATTGAATCGTGATTATCTGAATAGGACGAACCGCCCTGTGGATATCTTTGCTTCGGAACAAAACAATTCAAATTAGTCGGTCAACTGGAATGTGTATTATCCAGTGAAGCAGGGTTAGGAACAACAAAGCTCTTTATGCTAAAGAGATTCATTTTGCAAGTTCGTTATTACGGCTAGTTCCTACAAAGGATCGGACAAATGACGTATACAATACTTGAATTCTTGATGTAGATGCTACATAGTTGGTTCTCATCCTTTAGAGACTACGAGTGTAATAGGAGCATCCGTCGACAATTGTCCATGTACCAGTAGAAGAGATTCAGCAGCTACCGCGCTCCCTACTTCCTCAAGTGGAACTCATGGTTGAGGAGTTACTCAAAATGCTGCCAAAAAGAACAAGTTAATAATAATTATTATTATTTTGAAGTTTTCATTATTAAAATGGTGATCATAACCATGATAAAGTGGTCTTAAAAAATGATCGTGGAAACGATGGTAGTGGAAGTGTCATGTGGTGATTGTCACCAAGATGATAGTAGTAAAGTTGCTGCCTTTGGTGGCGGTGATAATAGTAGGGTTATAATTGTGGTGGCTAGGTGGTGGGGGTAGGGATGGGGGCAGTGGTGATTGGGTGGGGGAGATGGTCATGGTAAGGTCGGTGGAAGTGATTAATGATAGTCATTGTAATATGATGGATGGTAGAGTATAGCATTAGAGAATTGAGAAAAATGAAATTCATCAAAATTTTAGGTGAAAAGGTTGGGTTTTTTATGACAAAAAACTTACTATAAAAATACTAAAAATCCCTTAAAAAATCCATGACCTTTTAAAATACTTTAAAATAAGTGAAAATTTTAATACTCCTAAGTTTTAAAGACTCACAAAAACTCATAATTAAATACCACAAGATTTTTATGACTTCTTAGAAGTCATAAAAGTTTATATGACGTTTGTTGACTCTTTAAAAATCTAAAGAAATGCTAAGATGACTCTCTCAAAAGTATGACTCTCCATCAACTGTCTGCCTCCTAATGTTTTTGGTAAAAATTTATATTGAATGCACTTGAATTTGAGAGTTGAATAAAATCCATCAAACTCTATGTACAATACGCGCCCCAACCCCACAGATTAAAGTAAAATATCACTATTTAAAGTCATAATCTTTATTCAGTTTTGATTTCCCTAATATTCTTTTTATCAAATTGGAGTGCAGCGAACTTGTAATCATGTTAACTCTAACTAATTTTCATTTCTCTAATAATATATCATTATTATATTGGAATACATAAAACTTTAAAATCATGCTAATTTCAACCCAGTGTGAGCAATGCAAACCCATTAAATGGATATTATCAAGGATTTCACTTTGTAATAAGATTCGTTGAAAGATCATTACAACGATCATGTACGTGATCACCAAAAAAATCGATATCGTTTGACGAAAATTGAGTATAGAAATTCCATCTCACCGTCGTATGTATTATGCTATGGACTCAACCTGTATCAATTTAATCAATGGAACGGTTTCCGGGTGTAACAAAATTAAGAAGAAAAATGAACTTTTGAGCTCATTCAACAGTTCTCCATTGCAGCTCAATCTGCACTTGACCATTCTTCGAGTCTATAAGATGGTATTTCTGATTGATTCGCTTGTTTGAAACGACATCCGTAAGAGTGATTTGAACATATCCCAGAGATTCCTGATTCCACAAAATACGAATGATTTCGTCAGATAATATAAACAAAACAAGGATGCGGAAAGAATTTTTCATAGCATCCGAAAGGAAAACTGCAAGTTCTTTTGGATAGAAAGTTGAGTGCAGGACAGGATACTGTGTTTAAACGGAGTGCAGTTGCTTGACATAGAAGGTATACACAACATTATCCAGGATGGGTGTCAATTTGCATACTAAGCAAAAATGAGACGTGATTCGCACCTTTCCATGCAGAAGGCCCATCCTCGACGAGGTGCTGACAACCTCCACATGTAGTTTGTCATTAGTAGGAGGTTCCTCACACATGAACTGAAAATCCTCTGCCCATCTTGGATCTCTGCTTTTCTTTAGTACCTGCACAGCTCAAAGGAAATTGATAAACATAACAAGAAACAATCTTAAAATCGCAGACTTCGGGCATTTTCTACTATTCCAAGATGCATACATTCTCAAGTGTTTGTGTCTGTGTATGATAACTGATAAACATAAAGATGGTGCTCTCGTACCTTGGTTCTCTTTTCCTCCCCTCTGAAAATAAGTCTTACAGACGGATTACAGTGGTGCTTTCCTTCAAGATCTTGACCTTCATGAACTACAACAACAAGCAAACCTCCACCGGGTGGCGTTCCCTCAGGAGCTTTCTGTACTGTCAGTGTTTCATCAAATCCTTTTTGCATGTCCTCCTCTTTGAAGGGTTTATAATGCAATTCCACTTCAAGCTGCCCTCGCTGCTTCTCATTTGTGGCATCATTCAAGTCCATGTTTTTAAGGAGGTCGAGAGTCATAACTTTTGGCTCATTGTGGGGTAGATCTTTCATAGGTACTACATTCATACCCATTTTATCATGTTTGCCCACCTACACAAGGAATAAAATGCATCATATAGTGAAAGATTTTGTTGTTGATGCCCCGTGGATGTAGGCAAATTGCCAAACCACATTAATTCTTGGTTATTTTGTTTTTTATTTTCGAGTCTGTTTTGTTTTTCCCATTCTTAAGTGCGATAACATACAATATGACTTTCGATGGTAAACTGGTATACTATACCTTCTCCCAGTCGTAAACAAGAAGTTCTAAAGCCTGAGACTCTGGATCTTTAACAACCAAGTTAAATTCCTCATTCCATTCAGGATTCAGGTTCTTGTGCTTGACAGTGGTCTTCTTTGAAGGCATATTGTTCTCGGTGAGCTTTAATTTCACATAAGGGTCTGAAGCACCAAGAAGATCCTTCTTTTTCAACTTCATTGCCCTCAGAACCTTCACATGGAGCATTCCTACAGGCCGGTTAAAGGCTCTGCAACGTCGAATAACTTTGTCAGCCAAAACTCAAAGAAACAAAAAGTATGTAAGTCACAATAAATTTCAGACAAATATAGAGACGTACTTTGCTGGGTCCATTATTGGCACTTCGAGAGTTTTGGGCCACAGATACATGTTAGCAACCTGATCCTTGATTAGCTCCTGCAGAAAAACCGTTTCTAACACTGTTAAAACTACTATTATGAAACTGATAAGCATAACACCATGATTAAGAATAAGTTGATCACATATGTGCAAAGAACAGAAACAGAGAAAGACATTGACATTCTACCTGGACGAATCTATAAAGGCCAGGTATTGACATAAGATCAGCGCCCAAAAGCTTTAATCCGAAATCAACATAAGGCTGCAAAACCACAAGAAAATAATCATGGAAAAGATTGAAGAATTAGCACTGGAAAGCATAAGATCTACATAAGCTCTTATGGAAAATCATAAGGAAAACACTAAACAGATTCAACAAAGAATATATTTTTGACGAAAGACAATCCTGAATATACATAATCAGGCTTGATCTGGACTTCCAAAAAATGAACATTGTAATGTGTGTACCGTAAAACTTGTAAAATAAAGAGGAGCTTCGACATCATAATAGAATAGAACTATGTAGTTGTGGTTACAATACTGTAGCCATCACGAAGAAAACAATCGCAACTTCCTTGAAAACAAGATATGTACATATATAGTTCTATGTTATTAAGACCCAAAGGGCCAGTACGACACCACAATTAAATTTTTACTTCACCAAAACACAAACCTTATCCATGAGAGACACGTTTATTTGTGCGAAACAAGGAAAGCTTGGAACCAACGGCTTCAAAGTGATACGTGGTGCAACAAAAACTTGTAAATCCAGTACCTGAAGTGAAGCAAACAGTACAACATTAATAGAAGCAATACTATCTCCCTGCCTCAATTCAAGGACACAAAAAAATTAACAGTAGAACATATTCCTAGCACAGAACAGAAAACCTGAACGGTTGCTTTCATTCCAAATGCTTTAGCAGCAACAAGGACATTAGGGTTTCCAGCCCATTTTATGGAGGGTTCCATAATCAACTCTTTCTCATCAGTGACATAAACTTTCATGCCTAAAACCAATAAGATGCAAAAAAAACGAATGTGATGTTTGGAAAACACTTTTTACATAATATGTGTGTGTGTATGTATACACACACACACATATAGAGTTCAAGAAGACAGTGAACTGCCAAAGCTGGAATGGAAGTTCCTAATAACTCTCTGATGAGGTGTTTGTGATAGAGAACCTCTAAAGTGGAATATCAAGTTAACGAACCTTGGAAAGTCGGTGGTAAGGAACCTAAAGTCAGTGTTTCAAACTCAACAGATTCAATCTTGTAATTTGGAATTTCCTTAGCAATTATGGGCTTTGCAATTTCTTTTGCAGTCTTGCAGATTGCCTATAGAAGAATAAAACAGAAAGCCATGAAGCATCAATAAAAAGTCAAGATTATATGAGAAAAGCAAAGGAGCTATATAAGTTTCAAGCACCTTGTCCAGATACGGCCACATATATTCAAGAAATCTGTTTAGCCAGTCAAGCTTCACATGGGAAAAAGAAAATGTCAAAGAGAATTTAAATGCTATAACACCATGCTATTTAACATTATGAAAGAATAGTTACTGACACGATCGTAGTCTGGATTTTTCACCCACTGAGGTATCTCGGGCAGCATACGCTGCAATGTCTCCGTATCTTGATCAACCAAGGGACGAATTTCAGGATTCTGACAAACACAATTCAAACTATTAGAGTTACACAAACAAAGATAGACATGTCATATTTTTCCACAAATAGGCAACAAACACTGTGCATCAACTTCTTTTCTCGTTTGTTCCAATCTTTTCTTTATCTACAGTTATAATCTAGTAAAAGTTACTTTAAACCAAACAAAAACAGTGAGTCGATAATTTAATAAATGGACACATTCGTGTAGTACTGAGTTGATACTTTAGCAATGCTGGACACAGAGCACCTATTGACCAAAAAAAAACAAAGAACACAGAGCACCTATACTGCTTGTTTCATGAAAGTCAAGCTAAATTTAAAAATCTCTCCAACTACATCAGCATCTAAATCCAGAAGATATTTATTTTTTACCAAAATACTATATAAAAAAAATGCAGATAGCAATGCTGCAACACACACTCACTGTATACACATACATATAATATAGTATCTATATATATGTATGTATCGACATACACACACATGTACACATATTATATTAGGATTTTACCAAAGGTGTCCTAGAAATTGACCTCCTAGAAATTGACCTAACTTATCAGTTTGATCCCTCAATTTAAAAATCGATCAATGTCATCTCTGAATTTGACTCTCGCACATCATGATTAAATGAAGAAATCCCACATCATATTAATCAAAACCCATTTACACGGATGAAGAAAATAAGGAAACCCAGAGCAATCAAAGCAGATAAGAACAAATCACATTACATGTTGAGGAATAATCAAAACCCAAAACAAAAAAAATTCTAAAAATATAAACAAATATAAACGAAAAATGACGATATTATATTATATATATATCAGAAAACAGAAAACAGGAATGGAAAGAGAGGACCACCTGAACATCAGAAGATTGGACATAGATGAACAGGAAATATCCAGCTACGAGGCCAATTGAAATCCCGAGTCCGAATCCGCAGAGCCCAAAAATCGTACTGAAGAACCCCATTTGTTCAATTAACCTAACCCAAATCACGATTTTCTTGCGCTAATCTCTATGTCTTCCAGCTTTTCAGATCAGTTAATCACTGTATTAACATCGCCTAATTACGTAATCTTTGAATATTGAAATTGTTTAGTTTGCATTCCATTTTGTAAAGCACGAGGGGAAGGACTTGGTCTTGATTCGTTAGATTAAAATTTGCGATTGAATAGAATAATCCACCGTTCTTTGAGAAGCCGTGGACAAATTATAATCTAATTATATAATTATATACAAAAGTACCTAGCCTCACATGAGCACATGAGCCTACGTCTTACGTCGGACGGACGCCTCGCCTACCAGCCGGCAAATGCGCACATTTTTTTAATATGACCGGATATTTAAAAAAAACAAAGGTTTAAAATATTGAAATTAATAAAAAAGAAACTATGCTTTTTTTATTATCTCCAATAAAAAGGATTAAATCATTGCATGACGACGTTAGATTAATAAGCAACACCCAAAACCAAAAATCCCTAAAATATAACAAATATAAACGAAAACTGGTGATATTTTGTCAGAGTACAAGAATGTGAGGATCACCTCCACCTGAACATCGAAAGATTGGACATAGATGAACAGGAAATATCCAACGAAGTGGCCCTTTTATCATAGTGGTAGAAAAATGTTGAGTCATTGCATGAGTACGTAAGTTCAAATCTCGTCGATGACTAATCTAACACCTAATCTAACAAAATCTATCGTTCGTTACAAAAAAAAAAAAAAAAAAAAAAAAAAAACAGATGAGTGTCCTCTCCGGATCCTCTTTGCGATGATTCTAAGATCAATTCATCATAATCATTCATCGTTCATCGTGCGGTCAGCTTTCGTTAGAAATTCATGTTCTTTGATATTTGCAAAAGCAACAGCAAAAGAAACTTTTAAGAGAGTATATGAAAGAGAGGTAGTAAATGTTCATGTCACTATGTTCGCCTGTGGCAATTATTCATAAGGGATCAAGGTAATCTCCAGCCGGAAAGAAAAAGGAAGATCGAGGTAATCAGTTCAGCAAGTCGACAACTTCTAGGACTCTACTTGGCTCTTTTGTGAGCTTCATACAAGTAGCCTAGGCTCACAACAACAGCAGCAACCGCGACTCCTACCGCTCCTTGTGCCAGTATGGTGCTGTCCTTAGCAGTTATCTTTGAGGAAGTGGGGTTTGGAGTAAACCCGAGCTCTGAAAGTTTCTTATGCGATTCAGCATAATCTCTAAAAAATGCTTCCGCATCCTGTCATACGCCAAATTTAGCAAAAGTAAGAAAAAGAATGTCAAATAAAAAAAGCATAAATAAACCCACAACGATAGCTAATTTTATAAAGTTCAATCACTCCAACCAAACACAAAATTGGGGTTCGGTATCCGCTGCAAAATGTAAAACTTAACCCTATTAGCCTCAGCTTTTAAGTGGCCATGATGCCAGAAGAGGTGTTCTGTTACTGCTTAATAATGAGCCTGGTTTAACCCAATATCGGTTAATATCAATTCAGAGAAAAGGCTAGCCCAAATTGAAGAAGAAAAGGGGAGATGGTTTACTTGAGTAAGCTCCATTTTCAATCCCGACGAAACCTGTTTTTATTGGATTGCTTACAATTTACAAGGGCTTATAAGAAATTAAGATCTAATAAAGTAAACCATCTTATAAACAACTCAACCTAAATCTAGCATTTTTCCAAGTGGTTGGCAGGTCAGGGGTGATCAAATTACGCACCACCAGAACATGGGTGAGCCACATTTGATTATTTTTTAAATTAGTGTCAATCGACAATATTAAAGTAGCTCTAAACAAACAGTGTAAGTATGTAAATATAATCAAGCAGTGATAAATAACCCAACACTATTTATCAGAAAAATAGGACTGAAACAAGCCCAAACCCAAATTACCTTTGCATACAGATCAACATATTTACGGAACTCAGGATCCTCCACTAAAGCTGCATCTGTCGGAAGTTTCAACAACCCCTCGGACTCCTCGTTCAACAGTTCACTGTCAACAATGAGTAGCAACAAATGTTCATATCCACATGCAAGCATAATGACATAAATTGATAAATTTTCACCAATTTTTCAAGTCTTACACAAAGTATGAGTTATCAAACTGCAGAGGTTCCTTAGTCCAAGGACCATCAAAACCAGATCTGTCTGGATGTGCCCTTCCCTACAAGACCAGAGCAATGAAGCAGAGTAAACATGTCTATATAATACCAAAGAAGACCGTATATAGATGCATTAAGGAGGAAGAATTACCAGTGTATGACCCCCAGATAGTGCAACAATATCCTTGTCAGACAGCCCCATTCTATAAAACTTTTCCCTCAAATGTGGTGCACCTATTATCAAAACATAAAAGACACTGACAAGAAATTAAACTTCTTTTAATGAACAACAAAAAATTCATCTCCCAAACAAGCAAAGTATGCCAACTTCTTATACATCTCCAGCATTCTTAACACATTAACAAAGCTCGAAGATGGGAAGGAGTGGGTTGAGTTTTAACATGGAGCAAGTTATAGAAATTCCATGGAATAACAGAGGAATCCCACCATGCAAACCAATCTGAACTTAAGAGAATATATTAGTGGTGTGACAACAAAAATGAGTCATGTTAAAAAAAAAAGCTGGAAAGCCTCAGTTGTTTCCGTGGCCTTGTTGAGCTCTACGGGAAATCTGTGCACGCTAATGACTACAACTATTTGCATTAAGAGCTTGCAACCAACACCGAGAACGACATATTGAGGACATGTACCATGTTAGCATGTTACACATCCTGACATGGATACAAAGCTGCTCAACAAGTATTTCTGACTCTTATAAACTTAGAAGTTTGCTACACATAAATCATTAATGCCAAAATATAACAGAGATGTTATTAGAAAACTGTTCATCTACTCTAACCAGAAACTTCTTAGTCTCTGCTATGTAAATGCATACAATTTATGAATTATAATCCAATTAAAATGCAACCATATAAGAAATATAAAAATTGGGAAAATTAAATATTGAAGAAGATATCTAAGGTATTGGAATAAACCTCGTTTAGCATCTGGAAGTCGTCCTTCCTTAGGAGAAATTTTAGAATCCTATGAAAAAGTACAAAAAAGCAGATGAAAACTTGAAAGTAATGATAAGGAAACTTGCTATGTTTCTTGAAATAAGTGATCACTGACCACAACATACCTTCCTGCCTGAAGAAAAATCAATGACAGGGCCTCCAGTGACCTCAACTGCAACAACACCCGCAAGCTGAAAATACAAGTAATCATGCCCCTTAATCACTACTTTCATTGAAGAATCCATGCTATCTTCGACACATTAAGGAAAAACTGTGGTGATCTTTGTAAAACCTCTTCATTTGCAAATAATTTGATGAACTACAATTATATTACAGGCTGAGTAAATCTTTCAGAACTATAATCACCTGGTATAGGTCTGCATATGTAATCCTTGGATGCTTCGACTTCACTTCCTCTGACATAAAAGAGAAGCACCAGTCAACAATACCCCGAATTGTATATCCATTTAAAAGCATGACTCTCAAATGCATTATTTGTATGTACTCTTTGTAGATTGGGTAAATTGCGGTTTGACCCACTGAACTATCACCCCAGTTGATATTGACGCCCTAAACTGTTTTTTTGGTAAATTAACCCCTTGAACTAATTAAAATCAGTCAATTAACCCCTTGCCGTTAGATTGCGGAATCAATTCCGTCAAATTCAATGGCAAATTAGTCATTTCGTCATCAATTATTACTTGTCAGCTATAACCACCGATAAAATTTTGACACAAGGACGTAGAATAATTCAAAAACATATAGAATAATGAGAAAACATATAAAAACCAAACATTTACATAACGGACCATATCAAATTGTCATTACAAATTATTTTGTTTTCAAATGTCATAAGTTCATTGGTGGTTATAGTTGACAAGTAAGAATTGATGAAGAAAAGACTAATTTTCCTTTGAATTTGACGAAATAGTGGATTGAATCTACCGATAAGGGGTCAATTGGCTGATTTCAAATAATTCAAGGGTTAATTCACCCAAAAAATAGTTCAGGGGGTCAATTTCAACTGGAGTAATAGTTCAAGGGATCAAATGGCAGTTTACCCTTGTAGAGTTAATGATCATACAATTTTTGTATAATGGACAAACGAATGACACTGTAGTTACATATATATTGAAACATGTAAGGCACCTTGGAGACAACCTAATATGCTACATAATGACAACTTTAATACACGGTTGCTTACTATGATTTCATTACAGTTTTCTTATCAGTTTCATTTAAAAATGAGAAACCGAAGCAAACACAAGCATGCAGTATGCACATTGTCTTGAGTTGCATATACAAGACCGTAAAACCATCTAAATTCGTTAAATGCTTGGCATTAAGGACTTCCGCTATCTGAATTGCAAACAAAGACCAATTGTAGCACCGATAAACTCATATAAACAGCCAACGAACCATTAAAGCTTGCATAGCATGTCATATGACAAAAAAAATTACAATCATCTTGATTCTCGCTTCTCATATACAGAATTGCATGTTGTTTAAATGAATTACTGAATTTTTTTTTTTTTACAGCTACAAGATCAACTGATCAAGTTTAGAAAATTGAATACCGATTGACGATACGAAACAGCAGAAATGAACATACCACAAAAATCAATAGCCTTCTTCAAGCCATTATTGGAACCATGAGAGTACTCCTCCTCGTTCCGAATCGAACCATTCGGCCCACCCGTCTTCGTCTTGGCATCGTAGGTCCCAGCATCGTGCCACCTACAAATTCACACCTCCAAAAACAATCAATCATAACTCCAATAGATTCGATACAAACAATGACATGCAATGCAAATGCTGCGATAGTTATGTTTGGCTACTGAGAAAACGCAAGAAACGGATTCGGATTTTTCATTTATCGAAAATTTTATCGATCGGGAAACAAACAGAAAAAGAGAGAGAGAGAGAGAGCTTACGCCAAGCGGAGCATGATCGGAGCGCAGCTTCGGCTGTAAATGAGAGCGCGGAGATCGCGGCGAGCCTTGTCGATTTCTTTGAGGTACTCTTTGTCAACGAGCGGCGACGTCATCGGAACCGGAAGTGAGTGCTCGACTGTGACTCGGGCCGAAGAGAGAGGACGATGATTGTGATAGTGCGACTGGACAAATGCGGTTTTGAGAGAGAGAGAGAGAGAG